ATTCGTAGATCTTGGTTCGTAGACGTGCATGCTACGGCTATGCCTTCATTTACTGGCGTAAATATTCACCTTCTTACCCCGAGCTGTTCTGTACTCGAAATCCCTCCGACAACTTTATTACAGTATCCCTAAACTCTGTTTAAGGGGCGCTTAATGAATATCTATGTTATTTTTTTGTCATAATAAGTCGTAGCTTGCGACCCGGTTGCTTATTCTCCTAGAGTTATGTTGCTGTGTAAGGAGGGCATATTAAAACAGAACCGAGTAAAGACTTTATTATTTAGCTACAATATTCATAGAAATAAATTTTTTTATGATTATAAATACTTTCTAAATGAAACACTTGGACGAGTTTTATTGATTACAGTTTTAATTCCTCGATGACATTGTTGGGTGGGCGTTATATTAAAGATGCAGCGGACGCGAGACCTCTCTATCGCCTATGAATGCTGTAAAGAAATTTAATCGTTCATAATATAAAATATGAAATTCTATAATATATAATGGATACAGTATCATGTAACAATGAGTCTTATCCATTACATATGATCATCATCGTTTCAGCCTATTTGAGTCCACTGCTGAACGTAGGCCTTCACAGACTGCCACAAAGGGCGATTCTGAGCCACCTGCATCCATCGACATTCCACACACTTGCACAGGTCGTTACTCAGATACGATGGCCAATACGAGGCACTCGAAAAGCTTTCTTGTCCGTCGGTTATTGTTTCTTCGAGCTACATATTATTATATACATAATGTAAATATATTTCATCTCGTAAATAAAATAAATGACGATTGTCTTTAGGAAAATTAATTCATAAAACATCATGTGTTGTCAACCGTCGAGAATTATCTCGCGGTGCAATTTTGTGTAACAAAGGGTTGCTTACCTCAAAGCCGAATGCCTCGCATAGTCATCCCCTCAAGCAAATGTCTATTCTCGCTAGACATTAAAATATTTCAGACATTGTGTACATAGACATAACTAAGTTTAAATGTGTCTTTTTAATATGTTAAGTATTACTACACAATTTAATACCACAGGAGAACAATCTTTATCTTACAGTACGTTTTAATTTTACAAGTAACATGAAACAACAACAATGAGAATTCGAATTTGAAATTCCCAATTTTAATGCGAAAATCGGTAGATTTAGTAGTTTTAACACAATCCACTTTATAACGTGATGTACTAATAGGCGTGGCGACTCTAATTATATTCTGAATAAATTATGGTTGGAATTGTGATGTATGGTGATAAATATTTAATTTGGAAACGTTTTAATATTCATAAGACTTGCTGTTGACTAATATCAGATTAACTATAGTAGGTGATTGAAATAGTAAAACTATATAGAGAACCAAGCATCCATAAGCATTCGTGTTTGTCAATAGGCTTTTGTTCATAAAATTATCGTAGGCTTCCGACACGTAGATTATTAGTTAATGTTAATCTTCTTTAAGCTCTTGTTACAAACAGCAAACATGTGTAAACTAATGGTTTCTGATTATTGTATTGACAGTTAAATAATACTTCAGATACTTCAGATACTTCAGACATACATACATGTGTACAATTCAATTTGATATAAGCAATACGCGTGTCTCTCAATAGAGCCGCGTTATATACCGGGTCTGCTTGAAATTATCGATTGCGCGAGGAGCGCCGTCTGATATATAATGTAAATAAAGGTACATAACGCTACCTAGATACAGAGCTCGTGTGCCGGCTGGTCCGCGGCCCGGATGTAACTATTGGCAACCGTGCGTTCGACCGGCCTCGACCGCGAACGCCACCCAAATCTAGCCATTAGCGTTGAAGCAATAAGGGCCGGAATCGGTTCTCGCAAGGAGCGAAGTTACTGCCATATCGCCCTGCTTATTGCGTCACCTCGCTGCCACCTGATTCTCGGTATCCGCTCCGGGGGGCACCCGACTGTTTGTTGGTAAAGTTCGCTCTGTGCTCCGTTAATAAGCACATTCGGCCATGTTGGCGAAAGGCGACTGCACACGACAGCGCTGATGTGCTGTAATTACTTTTCGATGTTGGCAAAATTGCCCAATATGCCCCGACAGCCTTTATATACGGCTCCCGGGGCTCGGGAAAAAACTCTTTGTTCCGCTCGGCTTAGGTACTGAACGATGGCGTTATTTTATTTTGTTTTACCCTCGATGATTTCGTTTTAGGGTTCCGTATATTCCATTTCACAAAGGGTAAAACGGGACCCTATTACTAAGACTCCGCCGTCCGTCTGTCTGTTCGTCTGTCACCAGTCTGTATCTCATGAATCCTGATAGTTAGACAGTTGAGGTTTTCACAGATATAGAGAAATACTAAAAAACAGAATAAAAATAGTTAAGTGTGGCTCGCATACTTGATTCATACTTTTGCTCAGACACATGTTTTTATAGATAATTAAAAATTAATTCGCAACGATTCGAATGTTTTGTAGCGACTGTCTGTGATATGACGTGAAAAAAAATATATTGCGAATGAACAACATTTTTGTTAAAATCGTGTAGCCATGATATTTTTAATGTGGGAAGGTGGCTTCTGAGGTACTTATTTTAATTGAATAACACCGTTCATGGACACACGCGCCATTAAAAATAAAAAATGCAACGTTTTAAAACCTTGCGTTAAACAATTCATTTAAATATCCATGATGCAATATGTATTCGTCTTTCGTAGAAGTACGACCTGACTGGCCGAGTGTGTAGTGAACTTGCCTCATCCGCCAGAGGGTGTGAGTTCGATACACACTACAGGAAAAAATATTGTGTGATTAATGTTGTTTTTCACACAGAGTGTTTGGGTGTTTACATATTTGTGATGTTTATTTATCTACAGAAAAAGTATATTTGAGTATGTTTATCAGTTATCAAGTAGCCACAGTACAAGCGATGCTTAATTTGACTAGACTAATTTCACAAAGCATATGAATGGGTTGAATGAATTTAAAAGAGACAAAACATACTGTTAGAAGGAGAGGATTGTAATGCGACGCTGTGGCGCGAGTTGTATAGGATGTAACAAATTTTGTTTCTTTTTTACTTAATTAGTTTGTTTGAAAAATATTTTTTTTTAATTAACAAAATAATTTTGTTTAACGTTAATATTTTTTTATGATTATTGGCAAGTAGCATTAGACGTGTGTTCATTTATTGTCGCGATGGTAACGACACGCTGTATAAGATATAAATATAATATTGCATATATTTCAATCAATAACGAAATATCCTTCCGACAGAAAGCAAATACGTGGAACGTACAGCGAATGTTAATTAAATCCATGTTGAAACACAGTATGTGCGTCGCTCTCTGAATATTTACTTTCATACTCGAGGGAAAACTCCGCAGGCATGTTTTGTCGGGGCAAATTCAATTCTAGATTCACTAATTAGCTTTGTTAGCTTTTTGTTCGTTCGACAGACATTGACGGGCGCGCAGCGAGATTTTTAATTACGGGGTTTTACGCCGCCCCGCTCTCCGAAAGAGCGGGCGGATGGCAAAAACCCGGCCAATTTAAAATTTGCATAAATTTCCCGAAAAAAAATATAAAACGCTTACGGAAAATGTTTTAAAAGGTTTTTGTCAAACGCGAAACAATGAAACCTTTTTGTAGCGCTTTTGAAATGGTTCACAATAGTTGTGAATAGATTTGAAGTAGGGCTACAAGTTAGTTTGATGATCTGCTGGGCGTCTAAAGATGTTAATTACAAATCAAGTAAGCAGCTGCTTTTCTGCAGAAGTCTCACTAAAGCAAATTATGGTCAAAAGTCCGTACAAATAACGAATTAATTACACATAGAAAATAGTATTTACATTTACTTTGGTAACAAATTCTACACACAACTGTGATAGTTCGTTTTGATTTGAATGTTCACTAATAACAACAATCACAAATCTGATTTTTGAATCAAATTTAGGTGATAGTGAGTGAGCTAACTGGCGCCCAATTTTTTAAAAGTTTTCAGTTCATTTGCAAGGCCCACGAGTTGATATAGATGTCCATGGGCGGCGGTCTACTCTTAACATCGGGTGAACCACCTGGTCGTTTGATAGATTTTCACATAAAAAATGATAAAATTGTCATTTGCTGTAAACGAAACATCCTAGACGGTGCCAGGCATTGCTTAAATGCAATAATGAGATATGCCGTTTACATCAGTGGCTAGGCGGACCCCGGAGGACAAAGGTTCGAAATCAACAAGAAACTTTTTGTACACATTTCTAAAAATTAAAAAAAATCTGTCCTGTAAATCTACGTCCAGTGTCCAATGACGGGTAGGAGTGAATCGATTACGCTATCTATCATCCTCGATAGAGCAAGGGTACACGCAAAATCTCCGTTGTGTTTCTCATACGAGGCTATAAGAACTGTTTGGTCGTAAGCGGCATGGGAGGCGGGGACGAGAATATTGTAGTAATATGCGAAGCGACTTTCTAAGCGCGTAGCGTGCCATTATTACGTTTTCCCGGAGTTTGTTATTTGAAAAATATGCTCGGAGAACAGACAAGGGCCTTTCATAGAATCCAGACGGTTTTGGTGTTTTTGCGATGATAATGTAATATTTTCCGTTATTCCACCCTGCATGTATTGATGTCATTTTTAATATACTGTAGCTACGTTTACGGTCATTTACCGCGCCATTAAATATATTAAAAAAAACCGGCCAAGTGCGAATCGGACTCGCACTCGAAGGGTCTGTTGTATGGGAGCCCCATTTAAATATTTATTTATATAATAATATTTTTTAGTATTTTTTGTTATAGCGGCAACAGAAATAAATCATCTGTGAAAAGTCTGGTGACGGACAGACAGATAGAGAAGTTTCCCGTTTTACCCTTTGGGTACGGAACCCTAAAAACACAAAATAAGGAATAGTAGTAGTTAAACCACACCGTGAAACACTCTAAAGTGTGAAACAACATTATTTGGTCGTTAGTATTTTGTTTAATGTTAATTAGCGATTAAGAACCTTATGCTTTTAGAATGGTAAATAAATAAAAAAAAGTAAAAATTTTGCCTCCAATTGAAACTTTCAAACATCAAATTACGGAAGTTAGCAAAATTGTTTATTGCAAATAATAAGGAGGATGTAGTTGATGGTTGTAAGGTAGTGGAGACAATATGGCGGTGTGCTGACGTGGCGCTCCTTTGAATCTACCAACCCGCCTTTGGACAAAGAAAAATTGGTATTAGGTCGTAATAAATATATTACAACAACGAAGGTCGTTCAAAATATTTTTGGTGAAAATGAAGATTATAAGATTTATATTCCGTCTTAAAATTTGGGCAACAATAACAACAAAAATCTCGTAATTTTCTCCTTTAAGAGGCGTGGCTCAGATCTCCTGGATAAGCACGATCCGTAAAAGGTTAATCGTAATATTTTCTTAATTATATTCACCCAAATACGGTTCGGTTAAGTCGGACGACTAACGCTTTCAGGATTGGCTTCGTTATTGCGTGAAGTCTTGTTTACGCAAGTAATTCGATAAGATGACGCAAGATTATATCGTATTGTTTCCCCGTTCATCTATGTTTTATAACACAACAATCTCGCCTAAAGTGGGTGCGAACAAAGCCATCGCTTCGGTGCGAGGGCAGCCCGTGCTATCTCGCGCACGTTGCTAGGAGACGCGGATCGATACAGCCTCCGCCGGGCCGCCTAATTACCCCCGCCGCACCCCCGCCCCGCCCCCGCAACCTCCCCCCCGGGCAGCGTCCCTCGCGCCCCGCCTCGCACCCCGCCCGGGGAAACTTCTCGCCCGGCCTCTGCTCCCAGATTTAAATATCCAATGATAGAATTCGCGTTCGAATAAATTTTTCCACGTTTTACGTTTTGGTTTGTTGTTTTTTTTTTCATTCAAGGATTGTTTTCCACGTGGATTTATTCTACTTTCTAGTACGTTCTGTAACGTTGCTCCTCTTGCTCTCGGCATTGTCCTCGGTGTAGTTTTAAACAAAGACTTCCTTTGTTCCATCAATTTCATTCGCGGATAATCAATGACTCCGTTATTTGAAAGGATCTTTGTTGTGTCACGGTAGTGTTTTATCGAATATTGTATATATCTACAATGAATTTGGACGATAATACGTGCATTCGAAGTTATCGATTTGTATAAGTTCCGCATAATAGTATTATTTTCTAACTTGGCCTTAAAATTCGGAGGCAGAGTTCTCTCCACTTTAAAAATTTCATATTGCCAACGAAGAACGCGTCGTGTCAAGATTCATCTCACCCGCTTCAGAGCACGAGATTTTCAAGCGTCGTCCCAGATCTAGTTTTACTTTGAAACATATTTCTCTCGAGCGGAACATAATTTTCGACGTTAGGCGTCGCCAATAGCGCTCTTTGTTCCATCTGGGGACTAAACGAAATTATGCTTGGGAAGCGCGCTAGAAAGAAAAGTTGAGAGCGAACTCCGTTTTAAATTCCTTTCAGGAAAGTTTCCTTCTCTTTGTTTTATATACATTTTAATACCTTCATAATATGTATGAACAAGCTCTTGTTGAAACAATTTATCTGCGACCACCAAAACACGTATAGAAAAATAAACATTTGGTAATGGACATGAACAATTGCATGGAGTTTCACTACGATAACTTTTACATCAATAATTTTTGAATTTATTTTTAGACTTGGCAGTCATATCAATTCACCGTTATTTCATGACTTGTTTTATTGGTTAACAACTTGTATTATTAAAAATAGGGTATATATCAGCATCATGAAAGCTTATTAGCAATGTACCTAGGTAAGTCTCTTTTTATTCGTGCGCTTTTGATTCAAAATTACCCCAATAATGACCCTAATACTAAAAGTCTCCGCTGTCTCTCTATCTGTCTGTCTTATAGGCTGTATCTCATGAACCGTGATAGTTAGACGGTTGAAATATTCACAGATGATGTATTTCTGTTTCTGCTATAACAACAAATACTAAAAAAAAAAAAACAGAATAAAAATATTTAAGTGGGGGCATCCAATACAAATTTTTTTATACAAATTTACACAAATTTTTTGCCGTTTTTATACAGATAATGGTACAGAACCCTTCGTGCGCGAATCCGAATCGCACTTGACCGATTTTTTTCAAGTGTTTGCCAGTTGTACGATGTTATGATATAGACGACTAAAGATTGGAATTAATGATTTTATTTTACAGCGATCTGAAATTTCCGCCTCGCTCCCTTTGTTTAAATTGGGTTAAGGATATAGAAGTTTGTTTTCCATCGGCAAGACCGATTAGTATAGGCTCGAATATTCAACAAGCATTTTTTTTTAAATTTTCCACGGGGCAAGAGGTTGTCTTAGCCTCCATTGTTTCGATTGCGTGGGATTTGATGACTTACTTCTTCTTCTTCTTAATAATGACGTTAAGTGACAACTCGCTGTCAAGTTAATATATTTTTTTTATTCATAAGATGTGTAGCACATTCAATGTAGACATTAAATACCTTAAATATTTAATCGATAGTGCATTTTCGTTAGCCATAATGTTAGTTTCTATTGATAATGTTATAAAATTTCATAATGATAAAGAGTTCAATTAAACATGACTTGTATAAAGAAAAAATGAAACATGACAAATTATAAGTATATATTTTTCACGTTATACAGGGTGACTTTTCAAAGTGTATCCATTTTTTTAAATTAAATTCTAGACATAAATAATGTTATATAAAAAATGATAAATATTTAAAATCATTCGTAAGTAATTAATTACATTCATTTGAACTTATCTCAAAAAGTGCGTGATTTATACGCAACTCATTTATTTTACGCGCAATCATTCATAACTAACACGCACACAAGTTCGTGCACAGTAAAATTTATGTATTTATGAATGACTACCGCATTATCAACACGTTCTGTTTTTTAGGGAATATAATGGGATTTATTTGAAAAAAAAACTTTGTTTTTTATTTCAATAAACGATTATATTATCGAGTGTGAACCTCCTGTGTAAATTTGGTCACTTCTCAAAAAATCTCCCTGTATTGTTGTCCCATTATAGTTACGGGCCTCTTTCATATGTCACTATACGTTTCCATTTTTGGTTATCCTTATCTCACTATTTCTGTTTACAGCATCTTGCATGCTTTCCTTTGTCTATTACTTTGGTGATTTAATTTCACAGAAAATCGGCGTAACGGGTAGTATTATATTTTCACATTTGCTAATCAGTTAACATCAGGTGAATCACCTGCCTATTTGTCAACTATTCACATAAAAAGAAGCATTATTTCGTTCGTCAAGCGAGCCCATAAAGAAGTCAGATTTAAGAGCTGGATACGTGTTTGTGAGTGGCTTTTAATGAATTTCCTATAACATACCCTTCAGGTTAGATGAAATGGTGTTCGCTTAAAGAAAATCTGAACTTAAAAATGTTTAAAACATCTATGCTATTAAAACAAAAGTGCAACAAGTGTATAATACATTCGCAGTTATAAATATAAGTAGGTACGTCCGATCTTGCAGTGGATACGATATTAAAATCATACATTTCCTGTTATAATATCGTGTTTAACAGGCCTCCCTTTTCTATTTTGTTTAAGTCTTACGAATGGTTATATGCTGCAATGTTGATTATTTACCAGCTCCGAGTTTGTTAACAAGACGACGTTACTGTATACAATTATACAGAAGACGTCTCCGGAGTCTACAGTTTCAACAATCAGAGCTCTCGAAGCTTCGACGGTGCAGCGGGATGGAAGCGGGTGGGAAGGCAAGACACTTTGACTATCGCATTTGACGACAGAGACTTGTAATTGGATCGCATCGGGCTAAACAAACAGACCAATAAATAGTTACCTATATAGCTATTATAGCTATAGCTTTCAGTTGCAGGAAATTGCGTACTATGTATTGCCGAGCAATAGTGGATGCTGAATGTGTACATTCTATATCGTTATGTCTTTTATGGTTGTCAAGAGGATGGAATTGAAACGCAATATGTAGTTAATTACCTACTCGTATATTTAATTAAAAACTGTTTTCAACACAGTAACAAAATTTTTAAGTTTTGTTTTTTTTATGTTGCATATTGTTGAAAATTTAACAATCAGTTGAACGAGCCGTGTAAAAAGAATTTAAAGTTGTTCATTTCAATTTTTTGTTTGCAACAAGAAGTTTAAAGATTCCTACAAGCGTTGCTTAGTTTGGGACTAGAACTTTAACTCGAACGTTGTGTAAAAATGTGTCCTATCAATATGTTTTTGTTTATAAAATATAATAAAAAAAGGTTATTTCTTAATAAAAATCATATTTTTTATATCTTGTAAAGATCATAAGAGAATTTTTTAAAAGTGTCTGAAATATCGAAAACATTAAAAGAGGTACCACATAGATTTCTTAAAATAATGGTGAAATAGGTATTCGTTTAACGAAAAGGGTAAGCTCCGCTTGAGCGGAATGCAGCGGATCAGTGGTAATTTGTAGAACACATTCAATCTTGTCTTGAGAGGTCCTTTGAAAGCTTCTCCTTGAATCAAATTAAATAGCGTCGCTCTCAAGCTTAGCCGTCGGAAAAAGGAGCGCGCCGGAAAAGAAAATTAAAACTGCTACTCTTCTGTTGAGATTAATATATGTCTTCTTGCTTTAGCGCCATTCTTTGTGATGACGGCATTGGCGTCAATGGTAGCAGGGCCGTTTTGTCTCTGACTGTTTATTATTATAAATACTTAGTCTGATAATGGTATATTTATATAACTGTGGTGTAGGGTCACACAACAGCACAACAGCATCGCTGTAGCACGAGTGGATAGGTCCCTCTAGTAATAAGACCACGATCTCTCAAACGACTAGCGTGATGTGGAAGTGCTATACTTCTACGTTTTCAGTGCTATAATTCTGGTGAGTGCATCTGCGTCCTTACGGGTGTAGAAAATATTAATCGGTGGTTATCTTATGGTTATATTATGGTTATTAAATTGTAGGTGTTTATGGTTATTATATTATGGTTATTATAGTGTGTATGGTTATTATATTATGGTTATTATAGTGTGGGTGGTTATATTATGGTTATTATTGTAGCAAATATTGGTCGGTGGGTATCATTTAACATATCAGGTGAAGCAAGTATGCGGTTTGCTACCTTCTAACACGAAAAAAAGAAAATGGAGATTTGATATTATTATAAGTTTATTATCTGAATTGAAAGAATGTGGCTTCTGTAAGCAACGAAGAAGAAAATTCTTCCGTGCCATTTAAATACAAAATGTTTATGCAGGATATTATATTGTCGTATAATACGAAGTAAATATAATGTCGTTTAATAACAATCAAGGCTTATACAGGCGATGGTTAATGTATTTTCGGTATATATATGAAAGAATAATCAATAAATTCTAACTATATTTATTTTTGTAGGAGCGGGTAAGAATTTTTTCAATATCGTCGAAAAATGCTTATCTTCCTTGTCTGAAATTTTTTTATCAATTGCCGCCTTCAACTTACTTAACTCTTACACAGGCATCTTAGAGTACAAGATTCTAACGATTTTGTCGTTATCTTCTGTAATTGCACTGACCATGCCCACCAGCACGAGGACGGGTTTGAATTCAGTAGGCTACTTCCGAATTGTAGATGATGAAGGAGCAGAATCTTGGTAATCAGCCGCCATTTCTTTGTGAACAATTTTTTGAGTCTTTCCTTGTTTTGTAAGTTATGTTATCACAGGACGTTGCTCACTTTTTTAGGGTTCGGAACTTAAAGGTTAAAAAGGGACCCTCTTATTAAGACTCCGCTGTCTGTCTGTCCGTCTGTCACCAGACATGATTTTTTTGCCGTTTTCATGAATGTAGTCGTAGAAGCATCTTCGTAATTAACGAACGAATGCATGAAGTCGTAGGAGTATCTTCGTAATTATGTCTTGAATATTAATAATACCTAATTGTCACCATTAGGGTGACAATTAAATGAAATTTTATATTTATATTTATATCCTCAAAGATTGTCTTTAACTAATTAGATAATTTAATTACCCTAATCATTGGTAGATATATCAAACTGATACCGAGAACACATTTAACTCCCCTTGAAGTACATATACGTACTTAAAGCTGTTTACTAATTTGCGCTTCTATTCAGAGGATATTAAATGTAATATAAAAACGTTGAACGACGAGGAGAGAAATCGGCAATGAAGTAAGTTATTTTCCTCTTCGTATTTCGATTTTCGAGTTTTCAAAAGCCTTTTACGAGGTATTTTTCTTTCATATTTCACCCTACGATCCTGCCTTCGCCTGCATATTGGCTTTTAAAATGTTATAAAGTAAATAAATGCCTTTCATTTCTTCGTAGAAAGGACCTCTTGAAAGACTCTCAAAGTCTAACGAGATGAAATAGCCGTCTGCAAGGTACAGGTTGATTTGCCATTGAGAATTTTTTGTGCACATTTTGCTTTTCCCTATTTCGAAATGGAAATATAAACGTCTCAAGGTGATTAATTGCACATTTCTTTAAAATCCAAAGAACCTTTATTTACGAAAAGTCCTCCTTTGAAGGTTTATCGTTTAATACAAATTTAGTTTTTTAATACACATTTTTGATATTTATAATCACAATAAGTTTAGGGCTTAGCATAAGTGTATCACACTGAAAGTTCTTAGTTTTTTATTTTTTTTTTACAGAAAAAAGTGGAAAACGCCTGACTGGAAAACTCACCTGATGGTAATTGATCACCGCCGCCCATAAACATCAGCAACAGCGCAGGGTTGCCGGCCTTTTAGGAAAGAATAAAACTCAATAAGGCTCAATGTAGAAAGTTGCCAATACTTTTGTCGTTTGAAGTAGTCTTCGTTCTTCTCTATACATCTTCGCATTTGATGGAACCAATGAGAAAAGCAGCGGGTCCATTCTTCATTCGGGGTCTCTTCTATTCTGCGGCATTTTCGAACAGCGTCGGGACCATATGGCGGATATCTCATTATCTCGACAGCTGCCAGAGTAAAATATTTAATTATTCGTTTCCTGCTTCGACGACGCTGATGTCGAACATTTTCCAAGACAACAAGCAAACAACAGTTAACATACCAGTATGCTGTAACTGTTCTTTCGTCTTCCAGTACAATAAAAAGGCCTTTCCGACCAAAGAACGAGGCGATCATCTTTATTTTTTACTTCTTTTCTTTACTTTAGTTGGCCGATCCCCAAAAGGAAACACCCACTGAGCAGATTGTTTTTTAGTTTCGGGTAAGAAGTTTGTGAATTTCATGATCAGCATGCATCATTACTCCTCAGGGGGCTATAAGCCTGATGGCAACTGTACAAATTCATTATTATCTTCGGATTCTTTCATTTCGTATAGCCTAGAAGCCTACGATTTTTCTAAAAACGTATGATAATGATGGAGCAGAGGCAGTCACATATTAGCTTCTGTTTATGAATCGTCTCTTCTGTAGGAGCGAAATGGACAGATAATACTGCAAAGTAACTACTGTTGTGAGGGACGGTATTAGTTGCACCACCAGTTCGCTTACTACATCTTCCCAATCGTTTACTCCGAATACGAATAATATATACAAAAAAATCACTCACTAGAAACAGAGAACTAACTGTCCTTGGCCGTAGTCAAAAGTAACCACTAGAAACGGTAAATTTTTAAAATTTTATTAGGGTTTTGACATAAAAACATCACTGTTCATAATTTTATTTATTTAAGTGCATGAGACCTATTAAGTACATACTTAAATACACCAATTAAATATAAATCTCAAAATAATAACGAGTTTGGCATTCATTGTTTAAGATTTCAAAAGTAAAATTTCATTACAACCAACAATTCCTATATACCACAGTTCTCAACAAACGTAATATCCATAAGGTACTATGTAATTAAACTAAGTTTAAGAGATCAAACTTAAATCAGGTAACGTAACTTTGTAGGGCACGAGTTGTTGGTACACACGTATTTTTTTTACAATTTACAATTAGAAAAATATCTCAAAAGGCATGCTTTTAGAGCAAGTATTACAAAGGTACAAATGAATCGACTATAGGGCTTTCCCACTACTATCACCAATCACCAATATCACAACGATTTCCATAATAACCATTTTATATTTCGATACCTAGTAAAATAAAGTGAACGTTTCAATAAGATTTACTTATTACTTACTATATTTCAAATTCTTTCCATAATCAATAATAAATAATTTCGATTCGATGTCGAGTCGATGTGATGAATTAAAATTTTTGAATGAAAAATTTGAGAACAAAATGCACTTAAATTAATGTTCTCTATACAAAATATGTCAATGTGACAAATGCGTTCTGTCCCTTATCTCATGTGCTTTGGTCAAGTTAGTCAGAATTATGTTTAAAAAAAGTAAAACAGGCTTGCCAACGTTAAAAACAAAAACAAAAAACCAGAACCATTTCCCTAAGTAACTACTACATCTCGCTCGTATGATATGTCTCAGCAAGTTATACCTTTCTCCGTTATCACAGCCCTTAATTTAGTAATTACCATTAACCAACAGAATTTAAACTATAAATTAAACTTAACTAGAAAACATTAGACTCGGTAAGTACTTATACGTATTAAGTATTCAAATATATAAAATATCTAGGTGGCAATTTAAAATTAACGGAAATATAAATTATGTACTCTTTGAGCTTGGCTCGTTATTAGAATTCTCTATAAAATTTAAAAATTTCCTCAAATATTTTTTTCTCTTAATAGCCCGTGTTCCCATTCTCATTAACATTTGCGTTTTTATAATATTATCAAATTACGTAAATTAGCATATCTTTAGACTAATAGTCGATGTAACAAACTTTGTCGTTACTTTCCACGTGAAATTCTGGAATGAAATTTAAATTTGACGGAAAGTCGATACACGGGAATCACAACAGTGAGGCGCTTCGTTGGAACATTAACTAATTGCGGCAACCATCCGACCAGTCATCATGACAGCTGACACATGAAGTGGTAGAACTGGTCGAAGTTCACCGGCTCCAGTTCGTACTCCTTCTCCGACCTGTTGAGCAGTTCCGGGTTGCGCTTGAGGAAGTTCCTCACCCAGTCCTCGCCGGCCATGCGGCTGTTCACGTCGAACGGGTGGTTCAGGTTGTTGTCTTCGGCGTACTGGAAGGCGAGCTCCCTGATGTCGCGCCTCGACACGCCCATGAAGTACTTCTCCATGCTCTTAATGTAGCCGACCAGGTCCTTCTCCTGGTTGTCGGTGAACACGCGCCTGTAGTGGCCCATCAGCGGCTTGGGGTCGTCGGGCAGCTGGTAGCGAATCTTGCTCGCGCGCCGCTGCAGCGTGGAGCGCGGTATGTGGAAGGTGCGCGCCGCCAGCTTGTAGCCCATCTTGCCGGAGACCACGGCGGCGACGGCCTTCGCCATGTCCTCCTCGCTCCAGGACTGACGGCCACTCATTCTCTCGTATTTGCGTACCATTGAGAACTGGAACACGGAAAACGTTCGATAGATTAGCCGGGCTGCTTATGCTTTTGAGTGTCGCCGACTCGCGCCCGCTTTCTGAGACACTGGTCATCGTGGGAGTTAACTAATCAGCTGTCAAATGGCTATGCAAATGTCACTTGAGTTGCCAAAAAGATGGTTAAACTCTATGGACTGATCGCTCTGATCATTAAGAAGATCATTCTGACCAATTCAGTGAGTTTATACATCCTTTTAGCAACTTAATTAACATTTGAAAAGCCATTTGACAACTGATTAGTTAACTCCTACGATGATCAGTGTTTCAGAAACCGGGCGTCAATGTCACGATTAAAGTTTAATGGGCAAGGCAATCAACGTTGCCTTTTTACCGCGAAATCGGTTTGAGTTTTGCACTTTCTTTTCCTAACCAACCTACCTGGTCAACAGTCTCGGTTTTCGGCGCAGCTGACGGGAAATACATTGGAATCGGTTAAAAATCGCTTGCTTGGCTGCGAGGTCGATTTGAATAAACGCTCTCGGCTTGACATCGCTGATGTTCGGCGAAGGGTAACTTGCGGCCTACCGGTTCTGTGGACCACGATCAATGCCGGCGTGAGGCAAAAAACGTGTCTAGAAGCGATTTAGAGGCTATCCTCAATGTTATTCTGTAGCAATATGTTACAAATATGCAAATAAGGACGCCTCGTAACGTTCTTGCGAGTTTTATATGGATGCTAAAGTGTGACGCCGAGATGTGATATTTGACATTTTTTGAAACTGAAAAGCTATTGAGATTTTATTAATATAATATTGTTCTTTTTAATATGGAATAGCACTATAGTTCATAGTTGCATATACTTGTCATATTATACATTTGTCATTTACTTAACTCATTATTCCAATCGGTTTCGCGCAATATTCCGCAGATTTAAGCAAACCCAAGGCGAAAAACTTTTCGACAATTTATCCAAACATTTTATGTTTCATCTTAAGTGCAGACAATATCACTAAAAAGTAAAAATTAATTATTAAAAACCTATCAAATTGTTTCCTATATATCATGTATTATGATAATCATTTGCATTAAAAAAAAGAAATTAAAAGTAATTTTATAAATGTGAATATTATTTACATCTTTCGGTCATACCATTGTTATAATAATTTCTTGAGTTATTTCCGAACGAATATCAAATCATGTAATCGATAATGCTCCTTAACAACATGTAAATAGGGCCGAAAATGTATAGATTGGTGCGCCACCAACGATGTTACCGAGTACACCGCATAGCTCACTCAGCTGATAGCGGGCAAAACACCAGATAAGTATGGCGTGTTTTTCCAACGCGATAACTCGGGAAACACCGAGAGAGGATAACGTCGGCAAGCGCAAGTATTCAATTACCGCGTTCAATTATAAAATATGTGCGTCAAATAATAAACAACGAAACGTATTCAACACAAGCGCCCGTAATGTGTGCAGTCACTTGCACGTCACTCGTGTGTCACTTTGGCTCTCAGTTAAACGGGAAATACTACTCGATAGTTGTTGACCGTCCTTGAGTGACCGCTCCGTATTTTTTATCTGTAAAAAAGAAAAACGCGGTCGTGTCGCGCCGCTCGGTCAGCTGTTTGTATTCGTTCTACAACACGTCTATCAACATATTTTCGTATTATTTAGAACGTGAATGAAGATTTCGCATTGAGATTTGTGCCATTACAGTATACATTGCACGGTATCTGTTAGCACGTTCGCGTTTTTAGCGCGTCGCGAGGAGCAATGCATAACGATTCGGGCGACGTACTGTAACTGCGCGAGTCGCGAGACGTCTTGGTAGCGGTTTCGAGCGCGGCGCGCGGCGAGGTTACAGTGACGCGTGACTTGCAAGGTCTCCCGCTGCAATGCACGATGCGCCAAGGTTGCCTAGTTCGCTACGTCGACATAGGAAATAATCCCTTCGTCGTACCGGGACGAGGCGAGCTAACAGATAGCTGTGCCAAAGCAGCAACGGCCGATGCGCGGGAAAACTGGGCGATCTGGGGCGAGGTGAAATCGGCTTGTTGGTGTACCGCGGCGGATGGCGCAACGTTAGCGGCGAGGGTTGTCGGCACTTACATGAGGTGGTTGCGTGCGGGGCCCGTGGGGGAGCGGTGAGCGGCGCGCGTTGTGTGACACGGAGGCGGCTGGCGTTGGCGGTCGGTTGGAGCTCGCAGGCTTGGCAGCGTCGGCGTGCGGCCAGGCGGACGGCGCGCGCGACACTGGCGCGGGGCCCGTCTTGCCCCGCCGCGGCCCTGGCGCGCTGACGTCACCTTGCCCAGGGCCCGCCGCGACTATTCTCGTCCACGGCTAATTATCGCCTCCCTTTGTCCAATCGTGCGTTATGCACTGAAAAGGAAATCTGGCTTTATCAACGCCTACGTGCACTCGCGCCGTTCACGTTTCGTGGTGTGCACGAGTCGGCCTACAGAGGCACAGGCACGTGAGCTATGCGTACCATGGCATAGCTACGTAGTACTACCTCCAGGGTAAACCTACTAGTAGGTTTACCCTGGACCTCGAAGAACAGACAACAAGATACCGGGCAGCGGGTATTGTGAGAGAGAAAATAATGACTAAATTCATATCCGATTATGCTTCCTCGGAATGTGCCGTACACATAAGCGGGATATAATTGAATTGGTACCCGCTGACATCATCAGTTACCAATGACGCACTTGTATGTTCTTCGCACATAACGACAATACATTAAGCATGATGTACCTCCAATACGGTAATTCCTTACTCTACACTTTATCAATGTAATAAACACCCAAAGCAAATAAATCGTATCATAAATACTATTGTTAGATTAACGCCTTAATAATAGCGTTTCAAAAGAGAATTCACAAGCTGTAAAACATATACCGATTATAATAATTATTTTGAGATAAGTAAGTCGAAGTGGTGTAGAGTTTGCGATTGCCTTGCGTCATGTGCGAGGCTATAATTCCCACAGCCGTACCCTCACGTTGTCATAAGTTCCGACGCTTTTCGATAGTTCGACAGTGGTCTGTACAGTGGCATCCCCAGTCCACCCACACTAGAGCCTATAAGTTTTCCGCTGCCTAACCATTAGTGGTAAACAAAGATCGCAAGAAGTTGGCTACCGTTAAGATTTTATAAATATGCTTCCCTTTATATTATCTATTCCTTAAAGTTGGAAAGCAACAAAAGGTTACAGTTGTCACAGACTCGTCCTATTGCAAAGGTATATCACCTAATCAAATAATTTCTCGGTATCTTATATATAAAAATGGATTGCTGTTCGTTAGTCTCGCTAAAACTCGAGAACCGCTGGACCGATTTGGCTAATTTTGGTTTTGAAATATTTGTGGCAGTGCAGGGAATGTTTAAACGATGAGAAATTATGGAGAAATTGCATGGGAAATCTAAATAGCGACAATTTTATTTTCCCTTACAAACTGTACCTGTCAACCTGTCAACTGTGTCAGTGTAACCTGTCAAACACTTTATGCGTGCGTTCCGATTCCTCTAGAAATAATGTATATGGCAAAACAACGTGTGCCGAGTCAGCTAGTATTAAATAAAATGAAATGTTAAGTCACAGACGAAATAACCCATGTTAATCATTGATACCGTCGTTAAATTTGATCGTTAATTGTTAGTAATGTCTATAATTATTAATGTTCATTTGTCGTTGTACTGTGAATATGTTTAGTTGTACACGTTATGGTGAGATATCTGCATAAAAGATGTAAATTCTAATAAGAGTGGATGGATAACGACGCCGCATCATCGAAGAGTGAATAAGGAAGTCAAAATAAACTGTCTACTTGTACGTTGTTCGCTTCATAAGTATTTATCTGAGCAGTGAGACCAAATTGAACTGCGGCCAGAACTCTTATCGCGCAATGACAAAGAGCAAATTCACGCGAGCAAAGCCACGGCCAAAGTGATGAGTCACGAGCACGCGCGGATTCAACCGCAGCGATCCTCTAGTGCGTGAAACAGTGCCTGACGTTTGGACTGGAGGTGGTAATTTAACGATCCTACTAACATTATGAATATCGAAGTTACTCGTATGTCAATTTTCAATTCGCGACGGCTAAACGGATCTGGATGGGATTTGTAAACGAGATCATATACGCTTTACTAAGGATAACCTCAACCCGTTTGAAGTAATTACATTATTTTTTAAAGAATTCGGCGAGTAAAGTTGCGGGTAATAGCCTGAACAAAGAAAGACATCTCTGGGGCGGTGATGAGAACGATTTAAAAATGGAATGTAATCGTAAATTGACCTTCACGTGGCTGGGCATTGTGTGATGGCCTCGTCGTGTGACGAACGTGTAAAGTGAACTTCTGTCATCTGGTCAAAGCTGAAATCCTAAACATGACCAAAATCATTCCAGACGCAATTCCTCTCATATTACGACTGTTAATTAGTTATCAATATCGATTATATTACTAAACAGTACGAAATATAAAAAAATCAACTGTGGTAGAGTCACACAAAAGTCTTATCTCTTGCATGAATGGCAGGTCCGTCTGGGTTAGTACCACGAACTCAAGTCGAAGTGTTACGCACCACTTGCGGTAATATTAGGGTCGTTAAACGGTGTCAGGGAAATTAAAATTTGTACAAAATTGTTGCAGTCTTACGATCTAAACAATCTTAAGTGCAGAGATAAGCACTGTAAAAAAATTTAAATTTCTAAGGTGAAAGGGAAAGTTTTGCATCGTTTTATAGCGTTAGAATGTGCAGAGAGGGGTCGGGAGAGACGCAGAAGAGAAGAAATCACATTTCAATCTACTAGGATACTAGAACTATTTTTCAAATGTATTTCAACAGAAAAATATTTGGAGCAAGATGTTAAAACTGATGCTACGTAAAAGTATATTTAATTGATAGATTTCAAAGCCTTAAGTGGCACAGCTGCCAAGGTATTGGCTTCGGTGCCGACGACCGCGGCGTGTTTGACCGACGGAAGTGTTTGTGTGATCTGGGTGTTTGTCCACGTGAAATTTATGTATGTAAAACATCGTTATAACACAATATAATGTTATCCTGCAGTAAGGGCAATATTTAAAAAAAAACTGCAAATAGTTCTGGATTTTTATTAATGAATGTATGTTGTTTTTTTAATATTTGGCAAAAAATCATTCGATAAGATAACTTATACGTTACTAAATCGCTTCATTGAAAACTGATCATGTACATTTATTTTAACATTGCAAAGTTTTCAGCAACAACATAATACATTTACGCTATCGGCTCAATAAGCCTGTCTATGGATGATTACATTATCAAGCAAAATCTTATCGCAGACCGTGCCTTATTTCCGGATGGAGTTGTATAAGATCTTATAAAATTATAACTAAAATAAAAGAAATATATAAAAGGCCTTGAGAAAATTAGCGTAACACACGTTTGTAACATTTAAATAATTCAGTAGTTAACTTCTTCCTCTACAAATCGTAGTAAAGTATTAAACAATCGTTCCTTCTCAAAGAAAATCTTTAATTTGACGATACTCACAAGATATATGTATATACGTGCAGTAAGTAAAGTATGTTTAAGTATTTTTATCAGTTACCTAGTATCCATAACATATAATACATTATATATTAGATAACGATGTGTACAAAAAACATGTCCTGTCTTGAAACATTTATTTTATTTAAAACTTCTTTAGAACAATTCTAACAACATGCGGTAATTAAAAGATATACTTATAAATATAAATATTGTCAACTTACTTTATACTGATAACGCGCTTCTGTCGGTGGTCAACTAGCAATATACATCGTAAGTATAAACTCATAAAAGAAATTTCCCTGTTAGGTTATCGTTAATTTTTTTTAGACTCTGTCATTGCTTCATAGGGCATATGTTGTTGCCATTTTCCCATAGTATTTTGTCGCGAGAGTCCTCAAAATAAGTGAGAATAGACATTTATTAAGCTAGCATGTTTACCACCAACAATTACTGTACATGTATGGCAGGATTAGATAGTTCGTGATAAAAAAAAACTTAGATTTATTTTGAAGTCATGTATCAAGGTATGTAAATTCAAAACGATGTATATAAAAAGTAACGCTCAGGAAGGAACATAAATATTGTAGTTTTGTATTTGTTATTTCTTCTGTTTCCATTTAAAAATATGCATAAACATAATCGAATGATGTAAATGATATATAAACTTAACTTGAATGAGCAGCATTTGGTAAACCGTGTCTTAATATAGTTTTAGGGAAGAAAGCTTCGCCCATTGGAGGTATGTTCACAAGCTGAATAAAATGTGGTAAATAGAACATCGTGTTATTTGCCGTACGACACGATTTCACTATATGAAATTTTTTTATCGCATCACTAAGAAACCACAGCCGTAAAAATACTTAACCGATTTTTATTGAATAAAAATACTAGGAAGCAAAAGAAATTATTATTAAAACGACGACTATGAAGCTTATTATCGGCCTATTTCGCAGTTCCGTTTTTTATCGATCGGCAATCGAAGAAAGAGCAAGATTGTAAAAAAGGTTATTATTTTAATTTTATGTCTCACTAAATCGAGTACAATATATCGATACCAATTTATTCTTCTTCGTCGTTTCAATGTCATAAATCAGGAAACTAAATAAATACAAATTAACATACAGGCCAATGTAATGACATTTACTTTTTTCCGTTTCTTTTTTGTTTCATTACTCCTCTGTGCGATAAAACAGACACGACAAATATGACATGATGAAGAAATAACTGGTTATTCCCCTTTAAGCCATTTCTTGCAGCATGTTTTTTATCTATGTTTGTAAGGTGAACCGTGGTTGGGAAAGTCGAACTTATGTTTAGAATGACGATGAAAATAAAAATATAGAAGAAAGTTTGTGTGTTAAAAGATATAACCTATAATTTTAGTGATTATTTAAACGAAATACATTCTGAAAATGAATTGATTGCTCCAGGATGTTTCAAGTGGAGTATAGTATGATAAGTATATTTTATTGTCAAATAATTGGTAAAAAATAGTCCCCTGAGTTTTTTTCGGCGGTTCTTCTCAGGTCAGTGGCTTTTCTTTTCCGTACTGGTAGTAGTAAATATTTTAACAATCAATAAGTTAGTGCAATGCTTTTATACTGAATAAAGATATTTGAATTTGATGATTAAATTAGATATGTATATAACAAACACATTAAATATGCATACTGTTGATTTGACTTTTTTTGACGTTTAGTTGTATATGACGGTGTAACAATCAATCGTAACACGATGTTGTGTTTGATTTTCTTTGTTCATACCAATAGATATCCATATACATTCATTTGGTTGCTTTGTATAAATTTTTAAGATACTCTAACTACATCACTAACCATAACAAAATGAAAAGAATAATTTATACGTCCACTTTGTGCCGTAATGTATCCAATTGTAAATTCAGATTAACGTACAATTAGTCTCTGTGACTTTTTCTGGTCGTTGCTTTCCTATATTTTGTATTGCAATTGCTTGTGTTACTCTTGAATAAATGACATTTGTCGCTGGTTTACAAACGTCTAATTAGAGCAATTTTTCGGGGCTCGATTACTGTACAATCAATCAGCAAGGTATTTTTCAATCAGCAAAGATGAAAAAGGCTGAAATGATATCGGGTTATGGAAAAGAGGTAGGACGCATTTGGAACTTTCTACTAACATGTGGGCATATCGCTGCTCCGCATTAATCATTGACA